ATGTTTTGGTCTAGGATGTGAGTGCGACTTGTCTTATTCTAGTAACAACGTTTAACTAAGAACGTAGCCTGGTAGCCTGCAATGTTCGACTGATCTGTTCATTTCTTTGCATCATGTTAATGCAGGGTTTTTGTTTTTTTTTTAATTTTACTCCTACTGTTAGGAAAAAATCCTAAGATGGGCCGCTCCGCTGGCACAAAGAAATTCAATTAGGTCTAATCAAACCGAATTAAAATGCCCATGTTTTATTAAATGCAGCACTCTCAGGTGGCCGAGAGCATGGCAGGGAAGACAGAAAACAGGGGAGCACATGCAAAAACTGTGACCACGTGTTCCTTCTCTGGGCCCCCACTTAAATACCCTGTGGAAGTGGTCCTGACCCTCCCCCGGGGAGGGGTCATGCTGGGATTTAGAGTCCAGACCAATACAATTCCCAGGCCAGATTGAGTCCAGACCACTGCAACTCCCAGGCCAGGGTGGGCTGGGATGGATGCCAGGGTCTGGGGTGATGCTCCCAAATTAACACCTACCTTTTGGGATCGGGGATATTTTAAGCAGTTGGAAATTAAATGCGGGCAATTTCAGTACTCACTGGAACTCCCTCCTGGTACTACCTCTGTTTATTGTTTCCTTGTTTTCACTCGTGCCTTCGCGCTATCTACTCAGTTTTCTAGTCCCATGCTCCTACCCTGGTAAGTGGTGTTTTTGTCGAAGCTGGTCTCCGATACACCAGGGTCCTGCTTTATCGTTCTCTACCCTGCTGCCTTGAAATACGGGCTCTCCCTGAAGCTCTTCATTTAGTTAGGCTGGGCGACTGGCCGTTCCCAGCATTCAGCTGTCTCTGCCCTCAGCACTGGGGTCCCAGACACACACAACCACGCTCAGTCCTTACAGATACTGGGGATTTGAGTTCAGGGTCTCACTCTTTTTGCATCTGTGGGTACAGAATGCATGTCTCATTGGTAGCGGCTGCCTATATTGATGGCTTGCAGGCCCGGCCCAGAGCAGAAGCTGGCATTCCTGTGGCATGTTCCCTTCACTTGGGACTTCACTTGCCTGCCACGAACTGGCCTCACGTGGGCTCCAGACGGCCAACCTCTCCACACAGAAGGGCTCTGTGAGACAGTTTTCTGCACATTGCAGGCAAGAAAAAAACTTAAAACGGTTGAGAATACACAAATATGCACCAGGCATGGCATCACACACCTATAGGGGTCAATGCTGAAGATCAGAGAAGCAGAAGGCCAGACACTAGAGAGTTCTTACCTCTACCAATGCTCAGACCGAAGGGGCGGTTCTGTCCTCAGACTGTACCTCCCAACGGTGTCTGTCTCCATCAAACCTCAGACTGCCCTAAGCTCCCGTCTCCTGCTTTACAGATCTCTCTCCACCCAGCCACATCACTCCTGTCACCACCTTCCTAGTCCTGGAATTAAAGGCCCGTGACTCCCCAGTGCTGGGATCACCTTTGTGTGAGTTCTACTTTTCCTTTTAGACAGATTCAATCTGCAGCCCAGGGTGGCCTTGAGTCCTGGGAGTAAAGGCGCGCCACCACTCCCTGGCCTCTAGTGGTTTAGCTCCACACTCTGAACTTCAGGCAAGCTTTATGTATTAAAACATAAATAAAATATCACTATAGTTACTGTCAAGTGCCCTGACAATACACCACAGGGGACAAGAGGCTTATTGACTCATAGTATCTGAGTGTTGTAGTAGTCAGTCGTGTTGGGGAAGTCACAGCAGCAGGAGCCTAGGGCAGCTGGTCACATCACATTCTTAGTCAGGAAGCATAGAGAGGTGTCGCTGTCTCCTCCTATACAGTCCAGGAGTCCAGTCCATGGTAACCATGCCTAGAGGCCCAGGAGTGCCAGGAGCTGCTGCTTCTTTTTCTCCCCCTCTTCCTCCTCCTTTTCTTCCCTTTTGTTTTTCCCTTGTTTTTATGAGATAGGGTTCTCTGTAGTTTTGGAGCCTGTCCTGGAACAAGCTCTGTAGACCAGGCTGACCTCAAACTCACAGAGATCCACCTGCCTCTGCCTCGTGAGTGCTGGGATTAAAGGTGTGCACCACCACTGCCCGGCTCCCAGGAGCTTCTAAGTCTCAACAAACTGGCATCACAGCACGCATCACTGTCTACAGGTTTCCGCATGCCCCCAACGATGGGGTATTTTCAAACCACAAACAGCGACTCTGCCATTTTATCCACTTATGTGCTGTGCACACTCTTGGGCCCTTTAGGAGCAGCCACCTGTGCAGGTGTGGCTGGGTGCTCCAGCCCAGTTTCTCTACAGCCACCGTCCAGACATTCTGCAGCTCCTTTCACGAGTGTAGACTGTGCGTGGACGCTGTAGGTGAGTGTGCTCCTTTTCTGAGTGTACAGTGGACAATTTTAAGGTACATTTTACTCTAGTGCCCAACTCAGCATGCAAGCATGCACTAGACTCTCTGTGTCATCCCCCGGGCTTGTTCAGAGCCCCATTCCTGGTCCCCAAGCCTGCTTCTAAATACCAATGACTTGCACCCAGCACAGGCTCCATGCTGTGGATTCAGGAAACCCAGATTAGAAGGGCCAGGCCCTCTAGAGAGCAGAAGGGCAGGGCAGGGTTCCAGGAACAGCCTGTCACGTGCCTCTGCTGCACTGTGAAGGCTACTTTGTTGGTGTTGAGGGAAGGCTCTGAGGGTGAGCCTTGGTCTTCTATACAGGTGTAGTTGGCGTGCCAGGTGGATTAAGATGGTTTGCAGGGTGAAGCCTGTGTCTTTACCGTGGGGGTCCCAGTTTCATCAGTAATAAGTAATAAATGACCACCACAGCAATAGTAATAAGAGTGACCGAGGCTGGTTGGCTTTTATCAGTGGTTTTCAAAGACCCACAAACAACAAACCCTTAAGCCAGACACCTGCCAAATCAAGACATTCTATGGCCACATGAAAGCCTTCCTGCTGCAGGAAGGGTCTCCCCTTCCTTCCACACAGTGTGCGGCAGCTACTGACGGAAACCAGCCCCAGTATCACCCATAACTTCAAGTGATGTGTTATCTCTTCAGTTCGCTCAAGCGACTGCAAAACCCGTTAAAAAAAATGCTGCTCACACCATTTCCGACACCAAGTTTGGGTGTTTCCACACCAACTCCCCATACACTGATGAGGCAAGAGCTGTTATTTAATTCTGACACTGGATGCTGAGATTGCTGACCTCACAAACGGAACCCAGTCCCACAGCATTGCCTCCAGTTCAGAACGAGTGGTCAACCCGAGCTCCCACACATCCATAAATACACTCTCAAGGCTCATGTGACTCGGGGCTGCACTTCCCATGCAGTTACCTGCTTATCACAGAGGAGACAGATGAACAAATGGGGAGGTGCACAGGGTTACACCTGGGAGGGTCCTTAGTGCAGGGGATTCAGTCCCATCTACCTTCCTACATCAGCCCCAAAGCTCTCCAAACCCCTTTGGATAAGATGTTTATGGATGTCCTATTACACAGCCTTGATTAATAAGTCAGTGGCTGCTGTCATGGCTCAGCCCCCAGCCCTCTGACCACCCTGAGCTTCAGCATGGGGTGGGGACACCCAACCTTCTGTTCATAGATTGTCCTTGAGCAACCAGCCCTTCTCCAGTCAGGCAAGGCTGGAAGGCAAGCCCAAATGTGGATGAAGGGGAGTGCTGCTTCCAACACAGCCCTCTGGGCCCTGCACTTAGCAGCTTCAAGGGCTCGGCCCCTCTTGGGAACCAGGTGAAGCTCAACTGTAAGTTCTTTCCACTTGTCTATTTATGCACTTCAGTTACAGTTGGGTTTCAGGAACGCTGCCGTCTACCCCTTCCTTACAGGGCACTAACAAACTAAAGAATTCAAAGTTCAGCTTGGGGAACCAATATGGGTTCCTTCGGTTCCTTACAGAACCTAGGTGAGGAGCTACTTAGAGTGTGGATGACCCTAAAGCCACCCCAGCATGGATGGCAGTTTCCCCATCGATGCGTATATGGGGGTCCCCCTATTTTCTGTTAACCTTCACACTATAGACTCAAGCACCTCCTAAGCCCACAAGGTCATGAGCGGTTATACACATTGGGCTGAGTGGTGCAGGAGAGGGTGGCTGGAACCAGCAGGCACCTTTGTCAGTGGTCCCTGGGGCAGCTGGAGATGATGGCTCTGACGCTCAAGGGTGAAAACTGGAGAATCAGTCTGGGAGCCCTTCTGGGTGCTCCTTTCATCATGGTGGTGAGCCCACAAACGTCGGTTCCGTGGCTTCCAGACCCCTCCGAGGCAAAGAGCCCCAGCTAGGTTTTCTTCTATCACCATATTATTCCTGTCAGTTCACACACTAAAACAAGAACTTGGCTTTCACTCTCCAGTGTTCCTGGTAGACTATTCCTCAAATTAGCCTCCTGTAAATTCTTGTTACATTTTCTTTTTTATTTCTTAAGACAAAAACTGTCATTATTTTGTGACGGATAATGCCAACATCACAGATTTGGGGTGACTGTGCCGTCTGGCGTTTCTTTGCTTGCTTTGTGACATTTGAGACTGTAAATTGCTCTGCGTTCCTTCAGACGTTATCTACAGGAAGCTGTCGAACCTGGATGGAGCATGAATGTCTCAGGGAATGTTTAGTTACTTATTTTTTGTGTTAGTTTCTACTTTTCCTAGTTTGCTGTCCCAGAATGCCTTGTAAGACCTCTCTTTTTTTTGGAAATCACTGTATGTGGAGGATGTTCCCGCTCAGTGTATAGAAAAGCACATTCCTCTGGCTGACCACTTCAATTTCCCCAGAATGCAAGACAGCCAAGGCAGCTGTGTTGCGGGAGGCAGAAGGGAGTTCACTCAGGGAAGCAATGCCAGAGCTGACCCAGCCTTGTTCCTCAGTAGCCAGTGAGTAGCCACGGGTCTCAGAAGGTGGAGATGGGCTTTGCCTGGGGCTATCCAGGTTCTGCTTGCTGTTGGGCGAATTCTCATTTCCCCAGAGTGACACACTTGTATGGATGTCAAGTTACTGGGTCCCTCCAGTCTAAGGCCTAGGCGAGGAGTCGTCACCAGGGGCTCAGTGGGCGAGGCTGTGTGGTTTACAGTGTGCAGAGTTCAGGCAGAAGAGACCAGGGTGAGCGATCACAACGCCCAAGAGGGAATTGAGAACCTCTCTGACAGGCTTCTCCTTCATCTGCCCTTGAGCACGGGGTCCTCCCAGGCTGGGGCGGAGGGGGGCGGCAGCGGTGGGGAGCAGCGTGACCTTGAGTGGGCACGTCTGCATCTGGAATGCTGCGGAAATCCGCGTCTTTCTTGGGTTGGCCAGGAAGGGATCAGGTTACCTTCTGGTCTGTCAACGGAGGGGCTCCCCGTCGGGATAGTCAGCCTAGGACTGACTGAGGGGCCCCAGCCGGTCTTCGGTCGGGGAGTGGGAGGGGTGCCGAGCAGAGCTGGGAAGCTCCGGGGGACCCACGGGAGGAAAGAGGCCCGGAAGAGGGGCTGGTGGGACAGGCTGCAGCCGGGACAGCGTGCGGTGGTGGAGAGCGAAGCCGCGAAGCTGGGGCTGAGGCGAAGAAACACGCGGGACCGAGACCCGTGACCCTCGGCGGCGGCGGGACGGCGGGTGGGTCTCTCCTCTAGGGCGCCACGGGGACGTGCGCGCGCCCTCGGCCTCGCGCCCCGCCCTCCCGTCCTCCCCGCGCCGCCTCCCAGCGCCATTCCCGGAGTCCCCTCGTCCCGGCCATGGAGGGTCTGGTGCTGCGCCCGGCCAAGTGCTACCGGGTGGTGCTGCTCGGCAGCGTAGCGGTGGGCAAGACGGCGCTGGCCACGCAGTTCGCGTGCGGCCGCTTCCCCGAGCGCTGCGAGCCGTCGGTGGAGGAGCTGTTCAGCAAGGTGATCGAGGTGAACCGTGTTCCCGCGCTGCTGGAGATTGTGGACACGGTGGGCGCCGAGCACCTGGTCACCCTCAAGGACCTGTACATCAGGAACAGCGACGGCTTCGTGGTGCTCTACAGCGTGTGCAGCGAGGCCTCGTTCCAGGCCGTGCGGCCGCTGCGCGAGCGCATGGGCCGACTGCGGGGCTCGCGCGCCGTCCCGCTGGTGCTGGTGGGCACCAAGGCCGACCTGGACGCCGAGCGCCAGGTGCTGACGGCGCAGGGCCGCGCGCTGGCCCGAGAGTGGCGATGCCCCTTCCTGGAGGTCACGGCCAAGAGCAAGATGATGGTGGACCGCGTGTTCACGCAGGTGGTACGCGAGATGGAGGCCCTGGCCCCGCCGGTGCAGGAGGCTCCCCGCATCCCTAACGTCCTGGAGATGTGGCCGGCCGAGAGGTTCATTGGCTAGTGCGTTGTTGTCGGCCGGTTCAGAGCCTTTTCCAAGAAAGTTACCGAACCGTAAACAAGGGGCTGCTTCTATATTTTCATCCCAAAAGGTGCTTCAATCTGCCTACGTGTCTTTCTTCAATGTTTGGCAAAAACTTTTGCAACTCCCCCCTCCTCCCCTCGTTGACCGCCGACGGTGCTATAAGAAGAAACCAAAAATGGCATCTTTCTGTAAAGAGAATTTACGGCCGTTCTTCAGTCAGCTTGTTTCTGAACTCCCCCACCCCACCCCCACCCCCGTCTAATTTTTGTAAATAGCAACTTGTGAGCTTTGGATTGGTTGGAAGTCTGCACTAAAGTCAGGTTTTCTTCAGTTGCAGGAGGTTTTCACTCTCCTTTTTACAGCCTTGAATCCAACAGTAAGATTTTCCTCAACATGAATTCCTAAATATAGCTATGACTTATGCCGGGTTGGTTTGAAAGGGGATACTGTATGGGGGACAACTGTGCCCACACACAAAGATAGCTCAGCCCTGCCTTGTAATTGACATTTAGTTGGTTTCTACGTCCCTACATTGGAAATAAAATTAGAAGTTGGTAATTTTTAACATGTGTCTTTCTAGCTTCTGTGTAAACCTATAATCCATAAAGCTTTATTTTTTTTTAGCGTTTTATTTTTATTGTATGTGTGTGATGCTAGTACATATGTATGTGGGCACATGTGTGTAAGGGGACAACCAGGTTTTGGTCCTCCCGTTCCCCCTTGTTTGAAACAGGGTGTCTGTTTTTTGTTTACTGACTTCCAGATTCTTCTGTCTCCTGGGCACATCTTGGTAAAGGAGTACCGAGATTACAGTACAGGCTGGGATTTGAACTCAGGTCCTCAGGCTTGGACAACAAGTGATTTCCCTATTGAACCATTTCCCCAGTCTCTAATTCCTAAAGTTTTCCCATACCTTGTCTTTGAGTTATTTTCCAGGAAACAAAAGTTTTCAAGGAGGAAGGAGCAGCGCCCCATCTCCTGGTGTATTTCTACGGAAGTGCTTCCAGGAGCCAAGGGCGTGTGTGTGTGTGTGTGTGTGTGTGTGTGTGTGTGTGTGTGTGTGTTTTCTTGTTTTCTAGATTCATACTTTTTTTGACTGAATAGCTCGACGTGGGTGGCCATGTGAGGGTCTTTCTGTGTCATTTCCCTGTGACAGGAGCTCTTTAACACATCAGTTTACTAGTGTTGAGTGTTTAAAATCTGCTCTCCGGAATGTGTGCCTGCACAGTGAAGTTCTCCCTAGCTGCAGCCTAGGTTCAACTACTCTAGGAACCCCACCCATTGGAATGCGCTTCTAAAACAAACCAGCAAGCTTTAGCCTTCCTGTGACCTGAAAGAGTTAACTCTGTGGAAGGGAAGTAGGTGGACTAGTGATGCGACAGATTCGGTTCACTTCTATTTATATGATATATGATACTTAATAGAAGGTTAGAGTTCTTCCCTTTAATGTAAAGAGCATGTTTGAGAACCCAGCTACAGATTCGCCTAGAGAGTGCTAGCTGGCTAGGTTGCCCTGCCTTCACTCTTCCTCCCTGTCCTGAGACAGGTTGGCTCAGGAGCCTCATTTTGCAACCCATCACACTCACACAGACACACACACACAGACACACATACAGAGACACAGAGAGAGAGACACACACACAGATACACACATACACAGAGGCACACACACACACCCTTGCTGGCCCTCCTACCAGACCGCAACCATCTCTCTAAGGCCATTTCAGGGATGAGGAGGACTATGGGGGAACAATGGGGAGTGCTTTCCAGGCCTTGGCCATGGTCAAAGCCAGTCGGCTCCTGGAGCAGAGGGAATCTAAGATTCTCCATGCACTGAACAGGGCTCTGCAGAGAACACAGTCCCTAGCCTGGGCGGGGGGGTAGGGAGGGAGGCTGGCCCTAGGACTAGAAGCTGGGTGGCCTCTTCCAACTCTCCATTGGCTTGTGCTGAGGCCTTCAAAATTGCTTGTATACCCCTGCATCCCAGTCCTTATAAATATCAGGCCTTGATCCAATAAACGTTCCCAGCCAGTCTTTTCTGCTGTTGGACTTCTGGGATGACCTCAGATACCCCCAGTCAGATCCAAGTTTCCAGTTGAGAGTCCAGGGCTCTTCCTGGCTGGCTAGTGGACCAAATGAAGGAGAAGGGTGTGAGGCCAACTCCTCCGCCCTCAGGAGTGTGTTCAGGAGTGCAGAGGAAGCAACTTTTTAGGACACACACACACACACACACACACTTAAAGGCATATATACAAGATTATACACACACAGTTAAAGATACACCCCAGGATTTTCCTTCATATATTTCTAACATCTGTATGTCAGGCATAAGTGGCCTCTGTCTCTTCAGTGGCAGGGGGCTAACTGACTAACCGACTCCAAAGTGAATTCACAAGGGGTCGTCAGGGTGCTCAGCGCTTGCAGGTACAGTTCCCAGGCCAGGCATCTTGGGCTGGGATGAAATGACCTTCCCAGGGCTTGACCCTGTTGCCCTGCCTGGTTCAACTAAAGAGTATGTCCCCTAAGTGGCCAGGTGTCAATTGGAGGAGTGGAGAGTGGGAAAGAGGAAGGCAGTGAGTGCTCCTTCCCCTCTGTGTGGGATTAGGGCTGCTCTGGTGTAGGGAATTCTTTTGGGGGTTTAAAATGACATCACTCCTCTCCTGAGAAATACCCACTCCTTTTCCAGTGTGACAGTGCATACAGTCGGCCTTGGTAACTATCTCATGGTAACACGATGTCACCCTGCGGCAGCAGTCTCTGAGATGCCCCAGTGACGCCCTCTTCCCAGCATTTTTTCCCTGTGGTGACCTCGGTCTCAAGGCTGGTCTGTTAGAGCTCTTTATTTCAGACCATAGAATGACCTGAGTGACGGGAAGCCACTTTCAAAACCACACCACAAAAGGGTCAACCTGTGCCCTGCTTGCCCCCTTGAAAACACACACGTGCTATGACAGGCTCTGTGGACACAGCAAGGGGCTGTTGTCTCCAGTCAGCAGCAGCCTCCCAGACTGGACTGAAAATGGGTTCTTCCCAGTCGCCATGAAGATTCTGGTGTCCTGATGACACCCCCAGAGGCACAATCAGATAAGACCCAACTCAGTACTCCAGGTTTCCAATCCCCAGAACACTGAGAATTCACACATAACTGTTCCCAGCCCTGAGGTCGAGACAGTTTTGATGTTTGTATCAGTAGCTACCCCTGCATCAGTAGGTACTCAATATAGCTATGATGCTAGATGAGGTTGTAACTGGAGGTTTCTCTCCCTCCCACCAGTCCCTGAATAACCATTCTGAGGCTTGATATTAATTGTAAACTGTTTGGCATATTATCTCAGGCTTATTATTAACTAGCTCTTACAACTCAACTCATTTCTATTATTCTATATTTTTGCCACGAGGCTTGTGACTTGTTACCTCACATCTTGCTTCCTCTGTGGCTACTGGCATCTCCCTGACTCTGCCTTTTTTCTCCCTGTGTCTCTGTTTGGAGTTCCCATCTGTCTCTGTTCCGCCTGGCCATTGGTCAAATCAACTTCTTTATTAACCAATGATAATGAAACATATTCACAGCATGCAGAGAGCTCCATCGGGGTTGCTGGCAGCAAACCTCTGAAAATGTAGACACCACGCACTCTGAGGAGTGTGGTAGCCAAAGGTAAAAGCTCTCCAGATAGAGGCACTTTGAGAATGCCGGGTGTGGGAGAGGGCTCAGAAGGAAGTGAATGATTTGTTACTGAGAATTGCAGAATAACTCATACTTTAGTCCTGTTGCGCCCAGTGGGAAATTGAAAGGGGCCCACTGCAGCCCATGGCCTGGCGAGGTTTCCCAGCGGAAGGCTGAAGGTGTTGCTTGCTTTTATTTTGCTGTGAAGAAAGACAGAAACAAGATGACTGCTACACAAAAGGACAGACTCTCCAAGCCATCCTGCTGACCTCCCCATGTATAGCTCGCACACACTTCTGTATAACCCCCGTGGCCCGAAGGCTCACTCTACATGTCCCCTTCCTTTAGTCCACGCTGGTTACGTCCATGCTGATGATTTTTCAAGAACCTTCATGGACCTCTGTGATTTGAGGTCAACCCATTAGAGAAAAGACACCCCTAAAAGTCTTTGAGAATAGCCCTTCTCTACTTTGGGCTTCTTTCGTTGGTGTGTCAGGGACCAATACCCCCAGTTTCCTACAGGTCCTATTGATTGGGTATGCCAACTTCCTTAAGGACCTTTACCTTTTAAAAAATGTTCATTAAAATATTTTTAAAGGTTATTTTATTTTATGAGTACAGATGTTTTGCCTGCTTGTATGTCTGTTCCCCAAATAAGTACATTACTCTCGGAGGCCAGAATGAGGCACCAGTCACCTAGGACTGTGAGCCACCATGTGGAGGCTGGGAATCAAACTTGGGTCCTCTGCAAGAGCAGCCAGCACTAATAACTCTGCCATACACACCCCATTTTAAACATTGATTTATTTATTTATTTGTTTTTTGGAGTCAGGGTTTCTGTGTAGCTTTGGAGCCTGTTCTGGCACTCGCTTTGTAGACCAGGCTGGCCTCGAACTCACAGAGATCCGCCTGCTTCTACCTCCCGAGCGCTGGGATTAATGGCATGCACCACCACTGCCCGGCCTTAACATTTATTTGTAGATGTATCTGACATAGTATGTGTGTGGAGGTCAGAGGACAATTTACAGGAGTTGGTTCTCTCTTTCCACCATAAGAGTACCAGGGATTGAACTCAGGCTTGGCGGCAGACATAACCTTCTGTGTGGCTGAGAACTGCTGAGGCCGGAGCTCCAGTCTAACCACTGTGTGGAGGTGGAGGTGGAGGTGGGGGAGAACCAGGCAAGCTATCTCTGAGTTTCATGGAGCTGCAGACCACAGGATACTGCACAAGAGATCCTGTGTGCTTGGGGAACCACACTTCTGGTGTGCCTCCTTTCCGATATTTCATAGAATTCTGCGGGCTAAAGCTTGGGGCTCTGTTTTCAGGCCACAACGCATTCATCTGGCACTATCTTGGTTTATCTGGAGTGATTAATATGGTCCAGAATTGATATCATAGCTCGGGAGTGGCTGCAGTGGCCACTGAAACCTAGCTTCTCTCTCCGCCATAGAAGAGAACAAGAATAAGTTCAACTGAAGAGAAATTGATTTCTCTGTGGAAGCAGCACAGTCATTCAGTTATGTGAAGAAGTGGATCTGCGGATGCTCAATGCGAGGCTGGATGGTGCTTGCTCAATCCTCCACTGCACAGCGGCTCCTAGGGGGTTGGATTAAAGGTAGAACTGCTAGATCCCGTGGGCACAGGATGGACTTCACTTCCTTTACCATGAAATCAACTCCCTGACCAGAGATAGAGAAGCCTGAGGTTTAACCCACCTTCTCCAAAGCACTTCCCCAAGCCAGGAGGCTAAGTGAGCTTTTGATGAGAGTGAAGTTCAGGTTTTGCGAGGAGGCGGGGTGGGCAGGCTGCAAAACAACAAAGGGCCAGCCACATGAAGTCTTTGTCTATTGAGGCAGACATGAAAAATGCATTTTGTCCAGGGTAACGTGAGCCCTGGCAT